CTTGCCACGCTTTAGGCGTGCAACAGATGAATCATTTTCTAGCACTTTTTTTTTGTCCACTATGGACATCAATCCTTGCAAGTGCATTCGTAGATGGGATATATGATTTTGTCACTTTTGTTGCATCATTAAATGCATTTGGCATTTGATTGGCAATACTTTGAAGCACTTAGTTTTCTCATTGAACGGTACGAGGATCGAGATGAGACAAAGTGGGTACATCCCATGATAATTCACGTCGTTCTTCAAGAACGAGTTTGCCTAGTTGTTCTTAAGGAACAAATTTTTCTCCACCTAATGGTGGGAAAATTGTCTCATCAAAATGGCAATCCGCAAATCGTATGGTAAAGATATCACCCGTCCGAGGCTCTAGATATCGAATGATAGATGGTGAATCAAAGTCAACATAAATTCCCAATCTACATTGAGGACCAATCTTAGTACGTTGCGGTGGTGCAATAGGCACATAGACCACACAACCAAGAACTCTTAAATGTTAAATTTTTGGCTGATTACCAAGCACGAGTTGTACCGGAGAATATTGATTAATAAAAATAGACCTCAACCGCATTAGTGATGCTGCATATAAAATGGCATATCCCCAAGCAGAAACTGGCAACTTTGTCTTCATGAGCAAAGTGCGAGTTATCAACTAAAGACGCTTAATCAAAGCTTCTGCCAAACTATTTTGAGTATAAACATGAGGACCAAGATGTTCAATGTCAATGCCTAGTAACATGCAGTAGTCATCAAAAGTTTGAGATGTAAATTAACCAGCATTATCGAGTCAAATTGACTTAATGGGATAATCTGGGAATTGGGCTCGTAATTTAATTATTTGAGCCAAAAACCTAGCAAATACCATATTCCGAGTGGACAAAAGGCAAACATATGACCATCATGTAGATGCATAAACCAATAACATAAAGTACCGAAATGGTCCACAAGGAGAATGAATAGGCCCACAAATGTCCCCTTGGATCTCTGTAAAAATTATGGGGATTCAACATCAACCTGTGGCTGAAATGGCCAGATTACCACCTTCCCTTGTGAAGCTTGGCAAGAGCTATCACTTGACAACATAATGTGTTTAGTCAACAAGGGATGTCCCTTGGAATTGGTAATAATCCTACGCATCATGGTGGATCCAGGATGACCCAACCGGTCATGCTAAAGCTTAAAAGCATTTAAGTCAATGAACTTCTAGTCCACGACATTATGCGCCTTAATTTTTCATGTGGTTGTATAGTACAACCCTGATGAAAGCGCACAAAACTTCTTCAGTATATGTTTCTGGGTATTACTAGAGGTAATGCAAAGATATTCCATATTTCCCTCATCTTTTGTTTCAATGCCAACAATTATGATTTATAAGGTTAAAAACAACTATTTTTATGTATAAAATTTATATATAAAAAACAGCACTTATTTCTATAAATTTTATTTATTAATAAACTAAATTAAATATCAGGTCGGTTTGAGCTACCCATGGACTTAAAATCATGGCCCAAGCTCTACCCTTTGCATAATGAATTGGGCCAAGCCCTCTCATAGTATTTGGTTGGGCTAACCCATCATGTCTGAGCCATATTTATAGACCTACCAACAAACCACTCTCTTCCCCCCTCAACCCACCTCTTCTTCCCTCACCCATGCATCCCAGCCCCATCCCCCCTGTGAAGTGAGTGATCATCTTGACCCTTCGAAAATCAAATTGTTGAAATTGCACCATCTGTTGTTTGGTCAATCCGAGAGTCAAGGTGGCTATTATAGAAATGCCAAGTATGCATATCTGTTTGTTAATAGCTTATTTTATGCACTACCTCCCGGTCAGTTTTCATAAAGAAACATAAAGAATGTATTTGGTTTTATGGTGCCTACTAATTCGAACCTTAGGTTACCTATGTATCCCTTCCAGGATTAAAGCCACTCGTAGTTCTAGGAATTGCATTGAGTCACTGATTGCAAAGAAAATTAATTTGAATTAGATTTGATTGTAAAGTGTTTGAGTGAATTTGGTTGAAAAAAGCAAGGATTCAATTTGGATTTGAGTTTTGGAAATTGCATCTAGACTGAGTATTTAGATTGGCTATCTATCCTTAATGAAATTAAACCAACATAGTTTACCCATTTGGATATGGAAGTTTGTGGTATTTGGGGCTAATTTGGTTAGGATAAAACATGGATTATGTTTTGTTGGATTTGACTGCAATTGCAACTAGACTAAGCCTAGATTGCCTACGTAACCTATGAAGGGATTCAACGATTTTAGTTTGAGACTTAGAAATTGATCCATGTATGACTCATCAATTTGGAATTTGTAACCACAAAATTCGAGATAAAGAACCCATGAATTAATTTGGGATATTTTGGGTGGCAACACGATGTCTAAGGAGTTTTGATTGAAGGAGTTGGTTGCTTGACACTTTTTTTTTATTTTTTTTGCGCTTTCCATTTGGGCAGAAGAGGCTTGGAGCCACAACTCTTGCCCCGTTGTACTTGCAACATAGAACTATACTTCATCTACTTATTATTTATCTCATAGCCAAATGGAAACCTGAAAATTAAGATTCTGGTTAGCTTAAAATCTGGGCCCTTAGATAAGGTCTAGGCTCAATCTTCCAAAGATAGGGCTGGGCCGACCCTGCCCAACCCTTTCATCCCTTAGGGCACTTCCAACAGTGAAACCCTTGCCATGGCAAGAGGGGGGCTAGGGTTGACACTATTCATGTGAATAGTATTTTTCCTTGCAAAAAGTAAGTTGCACTTCCAGCAGTTGTCATGGCAAAGGGCAAGTCCTATTCAATTTTTTGGTTTTTTCACAAATTTGTTTACGTAAACAAATAATTTGGACAATATTTTCGGATGAGATTTTCTGATAAAATATTCGGATAAGATTTTCATATAAGATTTTCAGTTTCAAATTTCAGATAAATTTCAAAATTTAAATTTCATATACATTTCATCTGAATTTCAAATTTCAGATAAATTTCATTTGAATTTCAACTTTCGGATAAATTTCATCTGAATTTCAAATTTCACATAAGATTTTCACCATATAAAATTGCGCCACGTGTCATCTGAATTTCAAATTTCAGATAAATTTCATTTGAATTTCAACTTTTCATTTGAATTTCACATTTCAGATAAATTTCATCTGAATTATAAATTTCGGATAAGATTTTCACCCTATAAAATTGCGCTACGTGTCATGTCTATCGACCTAAATTTTTCTATAAAACTAAGGCCTCAGCTCACAAACCTCTCACACTACATCTTCTCAAAAATTTCATTTCTCAGATTTTAGATTTCAGATTCCATATTCCATTCTCAATGGCAGACATGGAGGAGGTCTTGGAGAGGCAAGAACGAGAAATAAGAGAAAGAAGGCGTAGACGAGTTGCAAGCAAAAGAGTGCAGAGAGAACGAGATTAGCAAATTGTCATGGTTGTGGCTTTGCTTGATGAAGAAAACCAGAGTAGTCGTGGTTCACATGAAGGCCATGGCCCGAATGTTGACAAACATAGGCATTCTCGGGGTAAGAATCTTATGGAAGATTATTTTATCCCAACATCTCTGTACTATGATGTTCATTTTCGAGGGCAGTATAGAATGCAACAACATTTGTTCAATAAAGTTTGGCATGATATATGCAATTATGATGAATACTTTGTTCAAAAGAGAAATTGTGCTGGTGTTTTGGGACTGCTTCCCGAACAAAAGTTCACAGCTGCTATACGAATGGTGGCGTATGGTGCATCTGCTGATCAGGTGGATGAGATTGCCCGGATGGGGAAGTCCACTGCTTTGGAGAGTTTGGTTAGATTTTTTGATGCAGTCAAAATTCTGTACACCAGGGACTACCTGCGCAGACCTACATCCAGGGACATGCAACGACTTCTACAGAAAGCCGAATGGAGAGGATTTCCAGGAATGATTGGTAGGATCGACTGCATGCACTGGCAATGGAAGAATTGCCCAACTGCCTGGCAAGGAGATTACGATAATAGAAAAGGGCAAAAAAGTATCATGCTTGAAGCCATTGCAGGATTCGATACATGGGTTTGGCACGCCTTCTTCGGAGTTGCTTGATCTCAAAATAACTTGAACGTCCTAGGTCAATCCCCGGTGTTCAACGATGTTTTGAGAGGAGAAGCCCCGAAAATCACCTATGAAATCAACAATACCGTCTACCAAACTGGGTACTATCTAGCTGACGGCATCTACCCGAGGTGGACAACATTTGTGAAATCACTTCCGCATCCCCGAACCCCGAAGCAAAATTATTTGCTACCTATCAAGAGAGTTACAGAAAAGATGTCGAGAGGTGCTTTGGTATCCTCCAAGCTCGGTGGGCGATCATTAGGGGTGTGGCGCGTATGTTTGATGAGGAGGTGTTGAGGAGCATAATGATGACATGCATCATCCTCCATAACATGATTGTGGAGGATGAGTATGATTACGATGCTGAAGAGGTGTACGAACCGGATCCCATGAACACGGCCTTGATAAGAATTTATGAAAAACCCATAAGGCCAAATGGAGAACCAGTGGAGCATGAATTGTTGGTTAAAGATGGTCGTTTCATGAACCGTATAATTGATCGATATACGGAGATGCAATCGTCGTATATTCATGAACGCCATCAAGTTGACTTAATGGAGCATTTATGGGCAGTGAAAGGCAATGACGGTGAATGAAGTGAAGTGAAGATGTGTTTTAAGATTTTAATGTTTATGTTTTATGTTTAGTTATGTTTGGTTTTTTTATGCTTTGGTTGTGGTTTGTTTGTTTTTATATTTTTAATGCTTTGGTTGTGGTTAGTTTTTTATGTATGGCATGTTTTGAATAAAAAGGAATTTTATTTAATAGTTTCTTTGGTAACTCAAAGAAAACCAATACTACTAATAAAATAAAATACATGAATTACAACTAATTTTTAAAACAAAACATTAAAATACAATGAAATGAAAAAGGAAAGCAAACTAACTTAAGGGTTTCCATCATTTAACCAATCCGTGTTGCTAGGTCCATCATCACGAAAAAGTCTTCGTCTCATAATAGCCTTTCGTTCTAGCTTCCAAAATTGTTTTGTTTCAGGGCACATATGGCTTGTATCCATAGCCATGGTTTCCCGATCCTTCTTGTCTTCGTTTTCTTTGCATTGATACTCCCATTATTTGCGTACATACTCCCTTTCTCTAGCATATTCTATTTGCATTGCCCTATCATCTTCTTAGGCTTTCCTGTCTATTTCAATTCTCAAGGCGCCTTGCAATTTCCTCCAAAAATTTAGAGGCATTACTGGTACAATTATTTCATCTCTTTGCCTTCACCACCTTCCTCCCAATAGGCCTCGGCTTCCTTTCAATGGGTGAGTCTTCACTCATAGGGGATTCCATAGGCGAATCCGAAGCTTGTGAATCATGGAGTGGCGTCTCGTTTAAAACCACCGTTGGAGCCGTTGGAATAATGCTAAATCTCTTACAATGCTTCACCACCTCCCAACATTGGGTATGGTTGAAAGGTTTTTTCCCTTGTCCAGCAGCACCATACCACATTTGAGCTTGCATAATCTATAAAAAAAAAAATTGAATATGCAAGGAACTTAAAAAAAAATATTGGTAATGCAAAAAAGATAAACATATTAATGAAAATCCAAGAAATATTAACAAAATATAGAGAATGCAACAAACATTTAAATAAATATTAGAAATACAAGGCATATTAACAAAATATAAAAATTGCAAGAAACATTTAAATAAATATGGAAATACAAGAAATATTAACAAAATATAAAAAATGCAAGAAACATTTAAATAAATATGGAAATACAAGAAATATTAACAAAATATACAAATTGCAAGAAACATTTAAATTAAAATTAATAGGACATTAAAATTAATAAAATGAAAATTACAAATAATTTACCTCATTGCTTAGATTTTCCCTGCTTCTTTGGTTATCCATCGCTTTTGTGAGGGCATCTCTCCATTTCCCCAACTCTTTGTTGAGAATTTTCCACCGACTAGACAATGCCATTTCCGTACAGGTGGAACTCAATCTTTCAACAAATTCGTGATGAATTTTTTTCACATTTGACTGAATTTCATCTCATTACCCGATATGAGATCATGACTAATTTGGACCTAACACTCACACAACAAGATATCTTCCATGATGCTCCATGCCCCTCCGGTTTCTTGAGAAAAAGCCATAATGATAGAGAAAAATTAAACTTGAAAGTGAAAAAAGTATTGAGTAGAAAGTGAAAAAAATATTGAGTAGAAAGTGAATAATAGTTGGAGAAGGAGAAGATGTATGAGGATTTGTTGGGAGGTGGTGAAGCATTGTAAGAGATTTAGCATTATTCCAACGGCTCCAACGGTGGTGTTAAACGAGACGCCACTCCATGATTCACAAGCTTTGGATTCGCCTATGGAATCCCCTATGAGTGAAGACTCACCCATTGAAAGGGAGCCGTGGCCTATTGGGAGGAAGGCGACGAAGGCAAAGAGAGGAAATAATTGTACCAGTAATGCCTCTAAATTTTTGGAGGAAATTGCAAGGCAAAGCGCCTTGAGAGTTGAAATAGACAGGAAAGCCCAAGAAGATGATTAGGCAATGCAAATAGAATATGCTAAAGAAAGGGAGTATGTACGCAAAGAAAGGGAGTATCAACGCAAAGAAAATGAAGACAAGAAGGATTGGGAAACCATGGCCATAGATACAAGTCATATGTCTCCTGAAACAAAATAATTTTGGAAGCTAGAATGAAAGGCTATTATGAGAGGAAGGCTTTTTCGTGATGATGGACCTAGCAACACGGATTGGTTAAATGATGGAAACTCTTAAGTTAGTTTGCTTGCCTTTTCATTTCATTGTATTTTAATGTTTTGTTTTAAAAATTAGTAGTAATTCATGTATTTTATTTTATTAGTAGTATTGGTTTTCTTTGAGTTACCAAAAAATCTATTAAATAAAATTCCTTTTTATTCAAAACATTACATACATAAAAAAACTAACAACAACCAAAGCATTAAATTATATAAAAACAAACAAACCACAACCAAAGCATAAAAAAACCAAACATAACTAAACATAAAACATAAACATTAAAATCTTAAAAAATATCTTCACTTCATTCACCGTCATTGCCTTTCACTGCCCATAAATGCTCCATTAAGTCAACTTGACGGCGTTCATGAATATACGACGATTGCATCTCCGTATATCAATCAATCATACGGTTCATGAAACGACCATCACTAACCAACGGTTCATGCTTCAATGGTTCTTCATTTGGCCCTATGGGTTTTTCATAAATTCTTGTCAAGGCTGTGTTCATGGGATCCGGTTCGTACACCTCTTCAGCATCGTAATCATACTCATCCTCCACAATCATGTTATGGAGGATGATGCATGTCATCATTATGTTCCTCAACACCTCCTCATCAAACATACGCGCCGCACCCCTAATGATCGCCCACCGTGCTTGGAGGATACCAAAGCACCTCTCCACATCTTTTCTGTAACTCTCTTGATAGGTAGCAAATAATTTTTGCTTTTGGGTTCGGGGATGTGGAAGTGATTTCACAAATGTTGTCCACCTCGGGTAGATGTCGTAAGCTAGATGATACCCAGTTTGGTAGACGGTATTGTTGATTTCATAGGTGATTTTCGGGGCTTCTCCTCTCAAAACATCGTTGAACACCGGGGATTGACCTAGGACATTCAAGTCATTTTGAGATCCAGCAACTCCGAAGAAGGCGTGCCAAACCCATGTATCGAATCCTGCAACGTCTTCAAGGATGATACTTTTTTGCCATTTTCTATTGTCGTAATCTCTTTGCCAGGCAGTTGGGCAATTCTTCCATTGCCAGTGCATGCAGTCGATGCTACCAATCATTCCTGGAAATCCTCTCCATTTGGCTTTCTGTAGAAGTCGATTGCCCTTGGCGTAGGTCTGCGCAGGTAGTCCCTGGTGTACAGAGTTTCGACTGCATCACAAAATCTAACCAAACTCTCCAAAGCAGTGGACTTCCCCATCCGGGCAATCTCATCCACCTGATTAGCAGATGCACCATACGCCAACATTCGTACAGAGATGTTGGGATAAAATAATCTTCCATAAGATTCTTACCCTGAGAATGCCTATGTCTGTCAACATTCGGGCCACGGCCTTTATGTGAACCACGACTGCTTTGGTTTTCTTCATCAAGCAAAGCCACAACCATGATAATTTGCTAATCTCGTTCTCTCTGCACTCTTTTGCTTGCAGCTCGTCTACGCCTTCTTTCTCTTATTTCTAGTTCTTGCCTCTCCAAGACCTCCTCCATGTCTGCCATTGAGAATGGAATATGGAATCTGAGAAATGAAATTTTTGAGAAGATGTAGTGTGAGAGGTTTGTAAGCTGAGCCTTAGTTTTATAGAAAAATTTAGGTCGATAGACATGACACGTGGCGCAATTTTATAGGGTGAAAATCTTATCCGAAATTTAAAGTTCAGATGAAATTTATCTGAAATGTGAAATTCAAATGAAAAGTTGAAATTCAAATGAAATTTATCTGAAATTTGAAATTCAGATGACCCGTGGCGCAGTTTTATAAGGTGAAAATCTTATCCGAAATTTGAAATTCAGATGAAATTTATCCGAAATTTGAAATTCAAATGAAATTTATCTGAAATTTGAACTTCAGATGAAATGTATATGAAATTTAAAATTTGAAATTTATCTAAAATTTGAAACCGAAAATCTTATCTAAAAATCTTATCCGAATATTTTATCAGAAAATCTCGTCCAAATTAATTGTTTAGGTAAACAAATTTGTGAAAAAAAAACAAAAAATTGAATAGTACTTGCCCTTTGCCATGGCAAACTTACTTTTTGCAAGGAAAGACACTATTCACATGAAGCCCTAGCTCCCCCCTTGCCATGGCAAGGGTTTCACTGTTGGAAGTGCCCTTAGCACTTCCACTCGTTTGCCCTTTGTCATGGCAAGGGGGGCTAGGGCCGCTACTATTCATGCGAATAGTGGTTGCCCTTGCAAAAAGCAATGTGTGTTTCCACTTGTTGCCATGGCAAAGGGCAAATACTATTCATTTTTTTTACCTGAACTATTAATTTGGATAATATTTCCAAATTAGATTTTTGGGTTCGTACGTGTCAATATTTATTATAAAATTCATATCTCATAATCGTTTAAAATTTTTGGATAAGATTTTCGGTTTCAAATTTCAAATAAATTTCAAAATTCAAAATTCAGATAAGATTTTCACCCTCTAAAATTGTACCACGTGTCATCTCTATCAGCCTAAATTTTCTATAAAACCATATGCTCAGCTCATACATCTCACACCAGATCTCTATATTTTCATTTCTTTGATTTTAGAATTCATACTCCATTCTTAATGTCAGACATGAATGAGGTTTTGGAGAGGCAAGAGCGAGAAACTAGAGAAAGAAGGCGTAGACGAGCTACAGGCAAAAGGGTGCAAAGAGAACTAGATCAACAAATTGTTATAGCAGTGGCTTTGCTTGATGAAGAAAACAAAAGGGGCCGCCGTGTTTCACAAGTCGGTCGTGGCCCGAATGTGGACAGACATAGGCATTCTCGAGGTAAGAATCTTCTAGAAGATTATTTTATCCCAACTTCTTTGTACTCTGATGTTCATTTTCGAGCGCGATATAGAATGCAACCCCATTTGTTCAATAAAGTCATGCATGATATTTGCAATTATGATGAATACTTTGTTCAAAAGGCAAATGTTGCTGGGGTTTTGGAACTTCTTCTCGAGCAAAAGTTTACAGTTGTTATACGAATGCTGGCATATGGTTCATCTATTGATCAGGTGGATGAGATTGCCCAGATGGGGAAGTCCACTACTTTGGAGAGCTTGGTAAGATTTTGTGATGCAGTCGAAACTCTGTACACTAGGGACTACCTGCGCAGACCTATGCCCAGGGACCTGCAACGGCTGCTACAAAAAGCCGAAGCTCGAGAATTTCTAGGAATGATTGGTAGCATCGATTGCATGCATTGGCAATGGAAGAATTGCCCAACTACTTGGTAAGGAGATTATGGAAATAGGAACGGGCAAAAAAGTATCATCCTTGAAGCCGTTGCTGGATTCGATACATGGGTTTGGCACGCCTTCTTCGGAGTTGCCGGATCTCAAAATGACTTGAACGTCCTAGGTCAATCTCCGTTGTTCAACGATGTTTTGAGAGGTGAAGTCCCGTATATCACCTATGAAATCAACAATACCGTCTACCAGAATGGGTATTATCTTGCTGATGGCATCTACCCGAGGTGGACCACATTTGTGATGTTGCAGACGTGTATGAAACGGATCCCATGAACACGACATTTTTGGTCATTTTAGGTCCTAAGAGCACTTCTAGCAACAAGGGCTGGCTCGGGCTGGGGGGGGGTGAGAGCCCAAAATCTTATTCTAGCAGCAAGGGCTGGCCCGGGCAGAAGGTGGGGACCACGAGACTTGGTTGGCCCGGGGGGGAGTTCAACCCGCACGCGAGCCCGAGTTTTGGGCTGATGTCATCACTGAGGCTAGCCTGGCGTCAGCCCTTGGATTTGAATTTTTTTTACCGTTGGCGCGTACGTTAAAAAAAAAGTTGCACGAGCGCCCAACGGCTAGCAGCCACATGGCGTCCTCTGGGCTCTCCGATCGCTTTTTGTCCTCCAATCCAACGGCAGCCAATTTTTTTGCAATAAAATAATGCAAAAAATTCAAATTAAAAAAAAAAAATTACCCAAAAATTAATTATTTTTTCCCTATAAATACCAACTAATACTCTTCACTGTATTTTAATGTTTTGTTTTAAAAATCAATTGTAATTCATGTATTTTATTCCATTAGTAGTATTGGTTTTCTTTGACTGAATAAAGAAAGCATTGAATAAATACCTTTTTATTCAAAACATTCCATACATAAAAAACAAACCACAACCAAAGCATTCAAAGAAAACAAACCACAACCAAAGTATTAAAAATAAACAAACCACAACCAAAGCATAACTAAAAATAAAACATAAACATAATAAATTAAAAAAACTTCTTCACTTCACTTCATTCACTGTCTGTTTGTGCCTAATAAATCACGATCGTAAAAATGACCGAAGGTGTTTCCGCTCGGCCCTAGCACCTATTCATGAACTGGAACGTGGCGTTTTGTCTTCCCAGAGACAAAGGAAAAGCTGCAAAGGCATAATCATCTCGGCATCGACCGCGGCATTATGGGCCGAGGCCGAAGGATGAAAGAAACACGGCCAAAGATATTGGAGTCAAATCACCACGTGGCAGCAGGGTTCCACGCTTCATTTAATGAAGTAATGCCTCTGACTAGCAAACCCACTAGCTGTAAGAAGGCATTTAATGCACAAGGGAAGAAGGGAAGTGACTAAAGTCAGGATTTGGTGATAGAAATCAGAGTGGTTAGGCGCAAACATTCTGGCAAATATTCTTACAACTTGAGGTCAGATCAACCAACCACCAGACCAGGGCATTAAATGCGTCCCCACGGCCAGAGGTGCAGAACCCACGATCAGGGCGGCAGCCGAGATTCACCAGGATTTATGGGGTCACACCATCATGCTTCGCGATCCCAAATGTCGATTGGACTACCCACTTGCTCTGATCAGACTCCACCATGCAGATTTTCAGCATCGATTACTCCTCCAGAGCTTTTCCTATAAATACGAAGCTCAAGCTACATTCAAAAGGTTCAAACATCAAACCAAAAGCCTCCCACGGAGCAAATTATATTTTCCTGTAATGCACTTTCAATACCTTTACTTGCTTTCCTAGGAGTAGTGATAGATTGTAAGGAAAAAATCCATTCATCAATATATCATACGACCCTTGATTTTCAAGGCGCCGAAGC